TTTTTGATTGGAAATTTTTTCCCAAAATTCGTCGTCGTGGCGCAGTAAGTTGCGGGATTAGGTGTCCTGCACTGTATTAAAAATAACATCATTGATCATGAATGTAAAATAGGACATTAGAATGTTTGCATCTAGTGCTAATTTTGAGAACATGTATATGACACCAAATTATTATCACGTGATAAAAGATCGGCCATTAAAAATTTCAAAAATTCAATTCTTCCCAATTCATTCATTTTTAATATATATAACAATTCGTGTAACATGCCACTTTGGGAGATTAACATAGTAAATTCATGAAACTTTGAGAACTTTGATGCATCATTCCTCTATGGTAATGTGACATATCAATGAAATGAAATCATTAAATTGTAGAGAAAAGTATTGGCTTTAATTCTATGATTTGTTTTTTTTGGTCATACATTCCATTTTTGGAGGAGTTAAAGAATCTACACATCTGATAAAAAGTTCAGTGCTAAATGACTTGCACTATATGACCTAAAGTATTATTTCAAATGATAATTGATGGTTATCAAGCCAAACCATTATTACTATTACTACTAATAGTGTCAATGTTTATTTTATTATTTCTAAATCAATTGTGAATGTTTTTTATAATATACACTTCCTGGTCATAAATATAAGGACACTTGCAGATCATCAGAAATAATTGAACAAAGAAACATGAAAAAAATAAAATTTTTATTAACCTAACCGCATTTGCTTATTAAGTAAAAATTCATCTTCATATCAAATACTGTAAAGTCTGGAAAGATAGCACCCCCTACTTTAAAACAATTGAGCATCAATATAAAAAAAATGTTACACATATGTAAAAAGGGGATGCTATCTTTCCAGACTTTACAGTAGTATAACATACTGAAGTTTCGCCACATATAAACAACAACTTGTTGTTTTACGAACCTTAAAAAATAAAATGAATTTTTCGGAATTTTCAAAAAAGTCTTTAACTTGAAAATTAACCACAATGTCAAGTCCTAACAACCTTTGTGGTATAGGTAAAAAATGTGTCTTATGTTTGAATCTAGCTATATCCAAAATTCTAGATTATTTGGTAAATTAATTAACGAGAAAAAAAAAAATGTAGAAAATTTTACAAAACAATTCAACCTCAAACTGCTCACCAATTTGAAACATAAAAGACACCTAAATTAATTGTATTTTATTAAAAAAAAATCAATATCTTGTCAGGTTTCCTTTACTTTTTAAAACAGCATCCACTCTTTGTGGCATACTATCTATTAATCTATTAATTCTTTCTGGGATAGTGTTAAACCATTCCTCTTTTAATAAATTGAATAGTTCTGTCTTATTTTTTTGGTTTTGGGTTTCTCATTCTAAGTCCTCTTTTTAAATCCTGCCATAAATTTTCAATAGGATTGAGGTCTGGACTTTGAGCAGGCCAAGGGAGAACCATAATACGATTTTCCTCTTTCCATCAATTTGCTACGGCTGCTTTATGACATGGTGCATTATCTTCTTGAAAAGTAAACACACAACTACGACCATGACCATCATCACCACCACTATCACCATCACCACCACCATTCTCCTCTCTTAATTCGTTAATATAAGATAGTAAATTTTCTGCAAGAAGTTTATTATAACCAATTGCATTTAATTTACCTTCAACTAATGCTAATGGACTCATTTTTTTTCTTGTAAAACATCCCCAAAACCATAATTCCATCAGATTTTTTTACTGTTGGACTTAAATTTTCTTTATTATATTTTTCTCCTGGCTTCCTCCAGACCCAATCATTTGAATCATTTTGAAACAACTCAAATCTACTTTCATCACTAAATATTATTTTATCCCATTCATTACTACTCCAATTTTTTCTTGCATGACACCAGTATAATCTTTTTTTCCTATTTACATCAGAAACAAGAGGTTTTTTTCACAGCTTTTCTTCCATAAACATTTTTAGAATGTAATGTTCATCTCTCACTTGCTATAATGTTTAATTCTCCAAGACTTTTGACTAATTTAAAAGCAGTTGTTTTAGTATCCTTTTTTACAGCTTTCATAAGTTGTCTTTCATCACACTCTGATAACTTTTTAGGTCTGCCAGGTCTAAGAACTGCAGTTGTTTTATTTTTTGAAAAATAATCATTGGCAACCTTTTCGACTGCACTTTTGGATCTATTTAATATATGAGCTATTTCTCTATAAGAAAAATTGGCTTTTTTTAAGCCAACGATTTCTCCACATTTGAATTCAGATAATTGAGTAGCTTTGGGCATTTTAAGTTCTCTTTAAAATGGTTAAAGTTTACTCTAAATGAATCATCTAATTTGGGATTTTTTTAAAAGATCTTCAAAATTAACTCATTTGAGAATTTTGTATGACATCTTGGCAATTAATTTACCAAATGATCTAGAATTTTGGATATATCTAGATTCAAACATAAGACGCATTTTTTACTTATACCACAAAGGTCCGTAGGACTTGACATTGTGGTCAATTTTCGAGTTAAAAACTTTTTTGAAAATTCTGAAAAATTCATTTTTATTTTTTAAGGTTCGTAAAACAACAAGTTGTTGTTTATATGTGGCGAAACTTCAGTATGTTATACTATTTGATATGAAGATGAATTTTTACTTAATAAGCAAATGCGGTTAGGTTAATAAAAGTTATATTTTTTTTCATGTTTCTTTGTTCAATTATTTCCGATGATCTGCAAGTGTCCTTATATTTATGACCAGGAAGTGTATTTCTAATTATTAATATTTTAACTTTAAAAAAAAAGCAATGAGAAAATTTTTTTTTATTCTGAAGAAAATATATTTATAAAAATATGCATTCAGTTAATTATTTATGCTGCCATATAATTTTATCATCTTACAAACAATTATTCCAGTAATGTTCACATATCATTAGACAATTTACACCTTCCCAGTTATACATGCAGCCCAAAGTATTTTGACACTGTCATAAAGGGGGTTTACACATGTAGTAAAAAGGTGTTACACTTATGTTTTTAATAATGAGTGCTGTAATTAATTTCTACTTTCTACCATCAAAATTGGAATAATTTTGACCACTGAAATCACAAACCAATTTGGGCTGCATGTATATTCCCAGTAATGAATGAATATGTCAGTATTCTTTTTTTTTTTTTTTTGCTCTTGGTGGTGTTGTTGGTGTTGGCATTTTATGATTAGTGCTTTTTGGAAGTGTTGAGGAAACATCTATATCAATATTTATTTTATTATATGGTTGGCTCGGTCTAAAGACCTCCTATTGCTGCGCCACGCGCTCAAATTTCAAAAATTGTGATTTTGTGATTCGTTCAAAAATCCAATAAAAATTTTTTAAAAAAGGGTTACACATGATTTTGGTTAAAAACTATTTTCCTTACTGCCAAATTTAGATATGATGGTCGAGTATTAGGCTAAATTTAGGAATGATAATCAAAAACTAGTCTAAATTTAGCAGTGATCATAGCGCTCAAATTTCTCATGAGCATAGTAAAGTACATGTTTTAAAAAAGAATAGAACTCTACAATAAATAATTTTTTGGAGAAAATCTCTTCATTACATTAAAAGTAGAAACCTATTTTACCAACTAATGAGGCTATTTTTTTAAAAGGTAGGACAGAAAATGACTTCTATACTTTTAAAATTTGCCCAAAATTTAGGAGGTCTTTAGACCGAGCCAACTATACCAAAGATTTCTAATCATGCCCTAAATCAAAATGATAAATAATTAATTAATAGCAAATAATGTGAGACCTCTAGATTTCATAAATTAACACTACAAATAAACTTACTTTTAGATTCCATGTCCACAAAAGTACTGATCTAAGTTGTCTATATGATGAAAATTGGGTTGTCAGTTCTAACCTTTTTAAAAGGTGCAACCTATACACCACCTGCATTTCCATTACATCAGGAAAATGAGTACAAATATTATGCGTATATAATATGCAATTTCAGGGATTAAGGATATAATATATGTACAATTTGCATACATAAAAAAATATGCGATTTGTATGCATATTATATGTTTAATCCCTGCAATTGTGTATTATATACGCATAATATTTGTACCCATTTTCCTGATGTAAATAAATTCTAATTTCATTTGTATACACCTAAATTGAAATAGAATTGGCTTTAAAACTCATATTTACTTCAAATCCTAGTGTATATCAATTTTGTTCTGAATCAAATTTATTTATCATATAACTCAACATGTCTTTTAAACCTTGTATTAGGTCAAATTCATCATTTGACAACTTGGTTAAATCAGTGTAAGATGCATTTCCACACACATGACCACAAAAGACTTCATAAGTACCAGCAATACATAAAATATCCATCTGATGGCCACGTTTTACTTGTTGTTCCATAACATTAACTGGTAAATTCTTTCATTCTTGGCTGGTTTTGGAAGTTACTTCTCCACTAAAAATATTCCATAAAATTTAATCATATACTCATTTTGAATATAGAAATTCTATTCCATAAGTACATACCATGGTACTCTGCAAAATCGATTTAATGTAAAAGCACCTTTGAAAATTGGGTAAATGTATTCTCTAGACCACTCATGCTCACCACAATTTGTCTGTAGTATAGGATTTGCTTCTGCTTCAAATGCATTAAGATTATGATATATTTTAATAAAAATCAGATTGAAAATTTTATGTCAACTTACTAAAATCAATATAATTTTATATTCAAATAAAATTGCTAGGAAAACATTCAGAATAAGATAATTGTATTAAAAAGACTTACTAATACCCAATTGCACATTCAACCCAAAAAATAATTTGGTTCCAATCATCTTTTTCATATGAAAAGTTGCTATTATATGTGGGTGCACTCAATCTTTTCCACGAGTGACATATCTCTGGCTTGTGATCCGGCCAATGCTTGAATTACGATATAGGTTAAACTGGTATTTTCGTTCAAATTCTCTACCAAAGTTCCTTCCTCATACCAATCATCCCACAACTTTCTCGTTCCGATAACAGCAAAAACGGATTGTGGTGCAAATCCTTTGATAATGTGTTCACCCATGAAAATAGGTGATTTATCATCAGATTTACCATAAACCACCACACCACGTCTGTTTGTTAAAAGTTTTTTCCATCCTGGTTGATCAACTTCCGACTTCAACCTACTTAACGCATCCTCTGCTTGTTTGATATGGCGAGAGGCTAATTTGTCCATACTAAGCAATGGTGAAGTTTGAGGGATGGTGTTACCGCTTTCTTCGTCATCGTCAAAATTCATAAACGTTTCCTCGTTATAATGCTTGTCATAGAAAAGATCATCATTATTCGACTGACTGAAAATAGTGGAAGTATCAGAACTATTAGTGTTAGAATTAGTGTTGGATTGATTAGTCACGGTTGTAGAATTTGTTGTTATAGTTGATGTAGTTTTAGTTATATCATTATGATTATTGTCGATTACTTCTGATACTTTTTTTTTCATCGTTATTATTTATTTTTATTATTTTTATTATTAAAAATTACTATCAGTCAGTTAAATTAATGATTTATAATCTCTATATTGGCACAAGCTTTTTAAAAAAAAATTTTTTCAATTTGGAAAAAAAATTGCTTCGTTATTTTATTTATATGAACGTAAATATGATCATATGAAAAAGATAATTCTCAAATATAACTGAAAATCGATTCATAATTCGCCATTCACTCAATTAATTGATGTGTGACTTTCAATGGGAATCAGTTTCTCTTGGGCTATTATTAAGAAATGATCGTTCGATTGAAATGAATCTATTTGTTATTCATTATAAGCTCGAGCTTACTATTACAAACATTAAAATTAGCTATAAATTAGTCACTCAAAATAATTAACAATCAATTGATCAATCAAATTGATCCTATATAGTCAGTTGATTTTGTCGATCATCACTAAATTGAATTCATAAACTCGATTATCAGGCGGAAATAATGATAATAATAGCAATAACTTTTTCAACGAGAAGTAATGTTGATGTTTGCGACCTGATAAAATGAATAAATGCATGTATCATTTTAATATAATAGATACTTACAATGTTTCTTTTAATTATAATCCAACATCACAAAGAGTTCATTATCCAAGCAAATCGTAATAAATCTCATTCATCACTACGTTCACTACCTAATACAATTATTCAAGATGAACAAACTGTTTGTTTTCCTATAGCCACGCGACCAATGAATTTATATGCAAATAGACAGAGTAGCGTCATCATGTAGCTAACTACTTAATGCACAACATGCGTGACACGCATCATTATAAAAAGCTAATATTTCATCATAATAAGAGTAAACTAAACATCACTATATTAATGTTTCATAATTATAACGTTAATAATGATGAGCAACATTGTCAAATCTGTTTAGAAAAGCAAAAGTTATCCAAGGAATGAAAAAAGGAATTCATTAATTGGAAACAACTATTTCCAAGACATTGGAACATTCATCTGGTCATATAGGTAATCAATTAAACCCAATACTAAACAATCAATATACATAAATATGTCTATATACGTTAGTGGTACTCTCGGTAGAACCAGGATCATTTTAATGCATGTGTACATTTACGTTATGCAAATAACTTATGAGCCTCAACATGGAACTGAGGTACCTTTACAGGTTTTAAAAATACTTTAAAATTTATTTATTAAATAAATAATGACATGTTTGTTAATATTCAATAAATTATAAAGTATTTTTCTTTTTATGGGAAATTTTAATATTTAATTTTTCGCAAATAGTAATTGATGTGCTTGTAAAATTAAGTGGTGCATTCATATCGACCAACTCAACATCAAATTTACGATATATTAAAGCTAACAAAGCTTTCATTTCAATCATTGCAATTTTTTTACCAGGGCATATTCTCAACCCACCACCAAACATCAAGAAAGAATTTTTCGTTTGTTTTTCGGTTACTTGACTATCGATGAATCTGTCAGGATTAAATTTGTCAGGCTCTTCCCAATGAGATGGATTGTTGTTAATTGCATGAATATACATTTGGAATTGTGTACTTTCCGGCCATTTATATCCTGCTACTTCATCAGGTAGACTTCCAAACCTCCCGATCATATTAACTGTAGGTCTTATTCTTGATGTTTCTTTAATAATTGCTTCACAGTATTTCAATTTCTCAATATCTTCTAATGTTATTGGTCTGGTTTCATCACCCTTTAAAACTGATTCGATCTCTTCCAACATTCTTTTTTTAACATTTGGATGATGTGAAATATAATATAACACAAAAGAAAAGGTATTTGAAGTCTATATAATATAGGTAGATAAATATATTAATTGATATATATATATATATATATATATATATATATATAACAACGACTACGACAACACAACAACAATACTTACTGTGTCAGTGCCACCTAGAAATATGTCCAACATATCAGCACGTATTTCGTCGTCAGTCATTGGCCTCGATAATTCAGGATCCACATGTCTTGATGAATTGATGTCGTATGGAGTGTTGGCAGTAATAAAAGAAGTCAACATATCATGTCTTAACTCGGTATTCTTATTTTCATTAATAGCCTCTTCAATTTCTTTTCTTCTTTCTCTAATTATACCTATTAATTTTCCATATAAATAATCACGATTATCAATCGTTTTCTTCACTTTACCTCTAATAATAGGTAAAAATCTGAGATATTTAGGAACAAGTACAAGAATTCCACTTCCTGACACAAAATCATTCAAGGATGTAACAAATTTCTCCGAATCTATCATTTCCTCTGATAATTTTACGTTTTTTAATTTATGGTAATGAAATGGTATTGTATAAGTTCGTTTGCCGGTTGTTAACAGAGATATCAAATCATTTGTAAATCGACGCATCCAAGCAGTCATATCAATAATCACAGCATCTTCTGGATCATCTGGTTTTTTTAAGTCCATCCAATACTTTTCCATCTCTTCAAACATTTCATTTGTCCATTTATTGGCCGCAATACTAAAACTTGGTGTCATGATTGCTTGTGAAAAAAATTGACGGTTAAATTTCCAAGTTTGCAAATCATTATTCATCGTTAATCCTTTTCGATCAGAATCAAACGCCTCTGCAAATTCTTTGCTAGGAAATCTGATCATATAATTATTCATTGATGGAACCAACATTTTATCGACATATTCAGCGCGACAAAGTACAATTTGTCTCACGCCAGCAAATGTCACCTCGTAAATATCACCATATTTTTTATATAATCCAAAAAACCAAGTCTCGAAATCTTTCTTAAAAATAAAGAAGCCACCAATAAATGGAATTGGTATTGGTCCAGGAAGCGGATTTATGCGAGTGAAATGTTGATAGTAAAAGCGTGCTATATATAAACTTATTGCTGTTAGCAATAATGCAAGTATATCAAAAGGTTTGATTGTGTCAGATATAATGTTTAAGAGACTCATGTTTGTTATTTATTTATGAATGCTTATGACGATGAGTGAAATTAAAAATTAAAAATTAAAAATGATCAAAGATTCTAATTTAAATTTAAATTTATTGGATATTTTGGATTTTTATTTATTATGAAAAAAGTTTAATCCTTTATATAAGTCTTTTTTTATTATTATATTATTATTATGTGCTACTACACGCGCGGAGGAAAATGTTAATTCCATATTGATTGTTCGGTTAAATTTTTTATATTTAGAAACAATCTAAATGGATACACAAGATAACACATTGGAGATCAAGTGTCATTCATAAGGATGGCAAAAATGCGAAATCCTTAGTTTATTGTGCGCATAATGTGCATAATGTGCATTGTGTGCATAGTAAATTATTAATGATTTTTTAAAAAAACACATCCACCATAAAATTATCTTCATGATTTTTAGCTTAGATGTAAATAAAAAATGTTTATTGTGTTTATTGTTGTGATTAGAATACAAAATTTTATTATAAAAATTTATTATTTTACTAACTTAGTAAGTTACATCAGAATCATAAAAATCATCAGATTCTTGATTTCCTTTTTTCATTTTCACTACTATCCTTGGAGAGTTGTTATACTTACTCTTGAACAAATTTTAAAATGCGCAACACATTTACCAACAGCAGCATTTATTTCATAATTACAACATTCGCATTGTGCATGAAGTTGCTGAAAGCCTGATACTTGACCAAGTTTATTGAAATGAATCCAAATGGGATTAGCTGGCGCATTTAAATTTTTATTTCATTTATTATTTACATTTTTGGCGCGTAACACAGATTTATCTAATCTATTATGCGCATAATAATAATGCGCATAATGCGCACGACACATCTCTAGTCATTCAATATAAACGTTACACGAATAAAATTATTATCCAAAAAAAAAAATCTCCGTTTTTCATATTAATATAGCAAGCGATTTTCAACCATAATAAAATTTTTAGAGCTAGATTGGGACTTTTAACAACAGTTAAAAGAAAAGGCCAGCTTAAATATTGGTTATTATACACTAGGTCGGAAACGTTTCTTTTCTTCACACTTATTTTAAGATTTTCTTCCAACTAGTATGCAGACTAAAACAAATTCAGCGGCAACAATTGTGCCAAATTGTTCCTTACAAAGTCACTTATAACTACTTGAAAACTTGTGTTAGAAAAATTTTGACTTTAATTATAAGAGACTGATTTATAGGTTATTAATTTATTATATATTAATTGATAAAATGAAACTATCATAGCAACACTATAATAGAAATGCTTAAAAGTTAAGTAGCCTATTACTAGCTTGTATATAAAAAACAAATCTTGGTTTTTACAAGTATAATCTGTGCTTATTATTAATATGTGAAATTGTTACACGATCACTTAGATCTTATATACATCGGAATTAATGAGAGTGAATATAACAAATAAACCTTGGTTTTTACAAGTATAATCTGTGCTTATTATTAATATCATCCATTAAATATGTAAATAAAAGTCCTTCTAAATCGTTATACTTAATGAATGTTTTATCAATTATTCATAGTTATATAGCAGTTGATTGAAGTGCTAAAAGCAAGATCTATGAAACTTGCAATTAAAACCGTTAATAATCATTAATGAAACTTTAATCAAAAATTTCTTTTCTTTTAAGTTAACTGACATTTTGTTAATAGCCATCTTGAAAGAAGTCCATTACACGAATTCATTGTTGTTTGAAAATATTAAATAAATATCACAGTTAATAAATTTGCTTGATACAACTTTTAATTCATCCAATGACATATATATATTATTATGTCAATCTAGGTAAAATGTTTCATTATAAAAAAAAAATTAATACTTTTCTATAAACAAATTCTAAAATAATATTTAAAGCTTGGAAATTAGAACTTACTATTGCATTAATTATTATTATGTAAAAAAAAAATAAAGTCCAAAGATTGAATTGCGCATATACAAATTTCTTATTTTATTATTATATTATAGAACTTATAGAGCTGGTAGACCAACTTCAAATTAAGATTTTCTTCGAGACTTATTTGTTTACCCTGGCAAAAAATATATCAAAATAAAGAGTTTTCCATATATTTTGATTTTTTATAATTCAAGGAACAATCTTGGTTAAATCGGGTAGGTTTGTGTATACCAGAATGATTTTTTTCTTCGATTTTACATATAAAATTATGAAAACAAAACCAGTCAAAGTGAACATTGGTATAACCAAGAATTTCAGGATCAAAATTTAGTCATTTGTAATTTGATCATAATTAATATCCCATTGTTATCTTAAGTGATATATAGAACTATTCCTATTGTGAGATAGTAAAATAAGGACCGATAGAGAGGCCCACTCTGCTGATCAAACCAAACCAACTCACTGCGGAAGTCACATGGACATATCAAATAGTCTTTTCTATTTTTAATATTATATTTTGTGTAACAACTGCGCCACATATTGCGCAGTGCTACACTAAAAATGACTCATATTCATATTTCTATATTTATATTTAAAAAACATATCCAAATATTTATTTAGTATTAATAAGCATATTTTATTGGACAAAATAGAGTGGAGGTCATGTTATTTGTAATACCCCAAGAGGTATAAAAGGACTTGATTTTAGACCATGTCAAAAACATCATGTTCATAATAACCTTTTAATTATTAATCTAATAATTAATACACTCCTAACACTATTGTAATAATATAATTATCACTAATAAAACACATAACACAATTTACTCTAAATACAATATTGATCTTTAATTTAACTAATAACCTGACAAAGGGAAGCCTTTAGCATGGTGTACATTCTTATAATTGGTAATGATTTTCGTCGATCAGATTACACAAAAAAGAAAATTTGATTGGCTGAATAGATTACACAAAATTTAGAGAAGAGGCTTTGTGACGTATAAGTTTTATCAAGTAGATATTGGAAGCAAATAATGCAAAACCATTAATTTAACAATAATCTACCTTGTTCCTATTATTTATGAAATAAATATATATTATACAAATTTAACAAATTTATTAATTTAACAAGAATTATAAAACTACCTCATTTCTATTATCTATG